CACACCTTGGTAAAGAAATCGTCACTGGCAGTTGATCCCAATTTCACGTCTTTTTGTCGCTCTTCTGGGACAGAAGTCGCTAGTCTCATCGTTGTTTCATAATCGCATCGTACAACTACGCGTCTGAGATGAATTAGAAGCGCACTCCGGAACATCTCCAGTATGGCTGCGCCTTCCGAGGAATGTGAGTGTTGCGCTGCGCTACGAGAAAAATCTCTGCTAATCGAATCAAAGTCTCGGTGAACGCAAATGAAGCTGTTCGCATTTCTATCGTCCAACCTAGCGCGAACAACAAGCTCATCACTCGGCACGAATTTCATCCCAAATTCACCTATCCCATCGTTGGAGAGGCAGAGCAGATCTTCGGTTACAAAGGGCTGGATATCGACATTCAATTCGCAGCTCATAATTTGCGACCACATATCAACATTTCCTATCAAAAGAAGTTTAGCACGATAGGTACCACAAGCGCCCTCGATCTGAACAAAACCTTCAGCAATTTCCTACCCCCGACAGCATTTGAACAAGGGTTTGAGTCAGAGTTGCTGAGCGACTCGAAAGCGGCACAATGGACACCTCCAGGTGTGTGTGTAAAGAAGTACACAAGAGGCGGAGAGAACTATGAGGTGTGGGCTGGCTCATTACTAGACCTTCCAATGAGAACCCTGGTCGACAATATCCAAATATTCATTGTCTTCTTTATTGAAGGTGGACAGTTCATCAATTTGGAGGATGTCGACTGGACCTTGGATCGATGGAGGGTCTATCTCACCTACCACAAGGCATCACAGCCCCCGGCGCCCAGGGTATCTCCATATTCGTTTGTTGGCTATGCAACAACCTACCGCTTCTACAAGTTCCAGAAACCGCCAAAGGATCATAAGCCCCTCTCGTTCCCGCCGTCAGAAATTATTACGCCTAACACTCTTCCGTCGCGGCTTCGAATATCACAATTCCTGATCACACCCCCTTTCCAAAGCTCTGGTCACGGCTCAGCTCTTTATCAGGCTATATACAATGAGGTTATGGCAGATCCGACTGTTTTGGAATTGACTGTTGAGGATCCAAGTGAGGAATTCGACAAATTACGCGACATGAATGATTTTGACATTCTAGAACCACAGTTCAAAGCAGTCAATCTCAAAATACATACGTCACCTTTTGCCAGCCAGGAACGAGGACGTTTGAAACGCATACCGACTGGCAAATTGCTCCCTCTAGATGAGCTCCAGGCTATTCGTTCCAAAAATAAGATTGCAAGTCGCCAATTCGCCAGGATGGTCGAGATGTATCTTCTGGCCCAAATACCATATTCACATCGTGCAGCCGGTGGTGCCTCCCTCACTAGCCTCATGGTTAGAGGTGCCAGAGCCCCCAATCCGGACGACCGCACATATTATTGGTGGCGACTGTTACTGAAACAGCGCATCATCAAGAAGAATAAGGATCTGCTCCAACAAATCCCTTTGGAAGAGCGGCTGCCCCAAATCGAGGATAGTGCGCGTGCTCAGGAAGACGAATATGAAGGCCTCATTCTTTCGTATGCACTCCGAAAAGAGAGAGAAGCTGATCGGCCTGAAAATGGAGAGTCATCGGCCGTCGTGCGGAAGAGAAGGGTGATTGAGGACGACGAGGACGAAGAGTCGTCGAGCGGCGAAGCCTCCCGGTCTAAAAGACCTAAAGTCTAACGACACGACGTCGTCATTCTTCCTTTGCGCTTGTCGACTGTGCGTATTCGAGCAGTTTGGACGGCTCATGTTTGCCCCCCCGGACGCCGCCGCATATTTCAATGGCAAGTTTGATTGTACTCAGTCGCGGTAACCGACCCCAGGACTTTTGGCCCAGAGACGGAGGATGAGGATAGCCATGACCTGGTAGCACAGAGCGTGAATTTTCAGGTAGCGAGAGCTCGATGATAACAGACAAACTGAAGACGTTCTTCAGCTTCTTCACCAGCAATGACATGCTCGTCTTCACCTAAAAATGCACCCTCTTCCCACATTTTGTCTAATTCCTGATCATCATCACCCGTGACAGCCCAGACACTTTCCCGTAGTCGTTTGTTCCGCTCTCTGTCCTCTTCAATCCGCTGCTCGATTGCCCGCTTATCCATCCTCGACACACCGTTTGGCTTGCTCGAACGTTCTGCTCCGGTCCGCGGTGTTGGCTTCTGAGCACCGTCGCCCGCGCCGCCCTCGGTAGCAGTCACGTCCATAGCATCCCTGCCGGCTGCTGCTTCGGGCTCGCCATCCTCGTCTCGGAGGAGGTTCCCCAGTTTCTCCTCCTTGTCCTTGAGTCCGCTCTCGATCGTGCCGATGACTTGGGCGGAGAGGACGCCCTTCTCGCCCAGTCCCGTGACGACGCGCCTCACGACCTTGACGTTGGCGCCGCTCTGCGCGACCGCGTCCACGATCCGCGCAATGTCCCTCTTGACCATCTCGACGTAGGCCTCGTGGCCGCCCTCTTTCATGTTGATGTCGGCGTGGTGTTCGAGAAAGTACATGATGTTGGCGCGGTTGTTCATGTTGGTGTTGCCCCGCTCGAGGTTCTCCAGGATACACGAGTGCAGGTCTTCGTCCATGTCCCGGTGTTTGAGCGCGTAGTGCGCCGTCTTTATGGCCGCCGTGGCGGACGCAGAGAGGTGCGTGAGGAGATTCGTGAAGCGCATGCGCACTTCGAACGGGTCGGCCATGGTGTGCAGAATCTGTAAATGCTGTCCTAGCCGCTGTATAGGCGTAGAAAGGGAAGCGATGGATCGCGGCGCAGGAGAGGACGGGGAGGGGTTTGACACAGGAAGAAAAAGGTGTTCGTGGGTGGTTCACATGTTCCGCTCTTTGGATCGGGGAAGCGCAAACACAGCGAGTACAAGTCCGCTGCGCATGGGATCGTCCACCTGTTACCAGTGCTGGTGGGGTAAAAGGCGATGTTCCTTGTCGAAAGCGGTACTTCGACCTGGTGTAAACTACGCGAAACAGCAATACGGTTGAACTTCGTGCGGGAATACTTGCAGAGGGTCGGAGAGACTCGTGGCAACGGACAAATCTCGTGCCCATTGGTGTGCCTTGCAGACGGATTTGGCCGACTAATTCTTGTCTTGAAAGGTGCTCGCCGCTGGTGCCACTTCCGCCCTTCGAGGGAAAAAATAGTTATATTCAGCAGTCATATCTTCCCCGCATTCTCTCTCCCAGCAAGAGATCGTGCAAGATTCATTTTGGACAAGCCTGACATAACAGTATTGTGTGCAGGTTTTCTTCCAGAGGACAGTAATCTCCTATTATCAGATCAAGGACCTCGTGCATCATGTCCGGTGTACTGCGCGTGCCCAACGGCCTCAATAGTGACCCTTCCGGGGGAATGACACTGACAATTCTCGGATGTGGTGAGTATTTGCGTGAGCAACAGCTCCTTCAACCACTGCTTCTCTGCTAGATATGTTTACTGACTAAAGGTTGGTAACAAGGCACTCTCGGGATCGCCATCCTCAGTGGGATCCTCTCCTCCCTCTCCGAATCCTCTGCCTCACATGCTCCATCTCCTGCATATCCCGACTCCGGCACCGCAACTCCCACCACCGAATCTCCTCCGCAGCGTACACCGACAAACTTCATCGCCTGTGTGCGCCGTCCTGAGTCGGCGAAGCGCGTCAGAGTTGCGGTCCAATCGTACCGGCCGAGTGTGACGGTCCTGCAGAACGAAAACGTCAAGGGGACGCAGAACGCCGATGTGGTTATCCTGGGATGTAAGCCATATATGGTCGCCGACCTTCTGCGCGAGGAAGGGGTGAAAGAAGCCCTCGCCGGGAAACTTCTGATCTCAATCTGTGCTGGTGTTCCCGTCGAACAAATCGGTCGGGTCCTTTACGGCGAGTCATATCCAGAGGGCATCCCCGACAACGCCTGCCGGATAGTAAGAGTCATGCCCAACACCGCCGCGATTGTGCGCGAGTCCATGACCGTCATCGCCAACTCCACCCCTCCCTTACCTACCGAGTTATCGTCGATAGTTGAGTGGATTTTCACACGGATCGGCCGAGTCGTGCACCTTCCACCAGGAATGATGGACGTTTCCACCGCCCTGTGCGGTTCTGGGCCCGCATTCCTCGCACTGATGCTCGAGTCTCTTGCGGATGGCGCCGTCGCAATGGGCCTCCCTCGTGCAGAGGCTCAACTCATGGCTGCGCAGACGATGCGAGGGACGGCAGGGATGGTCCTGTCCGGGGAACATCCTGCGCTGGTGAGAGAGAAGGTGTCTACCCCCGGAGGTTGCACGATCGGTGGGTTGTTGGTGTTGGAGGAGGGCAGGGTCCGGGGAACAGTGGCGAGAAGTGTCAGAGAGGCGACAGTCGTCGCAGCGCAGCTGGGTAAGGGCGTTAGTGGCGTCAACGGGACGAGATTTGAGAGGCAATAGAAGAGGTCAACAGTGGAACATCTTGGACAGAATCATTTGGGCATACTAGCTGAGCTTGGGGTAAGCTACGGAATCATGAACATTTTGCGAAGTACAACAACAGTTGACTTGACGCATCATGACGTGGCAAAGTGTTCTGCTCTTTACGCTGTCAATGCGCAGGACGAGCGGGGGTCGAAAAGTTTGGCACATATTCCTGTAGATGACGAGCAGACAGCCCAACTCCAGCAGAGCCCTTGCACCTCACAAGGCGGATGAAACGATCTGACTTCTGGAGTTGCACATGAATCTTGAATTGTACATTTTTCGGATCTTGTCCAAGTCTCCCTGCAAGCCCACAGTATAGTTACAAACGTCTCCAGCAGAATATGGGTTCCACGTAGACAGCCCGGGGTAGAAGAATGCTCGATCGACTCCGGTAGCGCACTGAATGCGTATCTTCTAACTCCGGCTCCCATGCAGCACCTGTAGACATCTTTCATGTGTTTCGTGCTGCCATTTTACCTCTGAATGGGCCGAAACGAACAGGCACCGAAAGAATGGGTGTCCTGAATACCATCTCTCCATCTGCTCTTGCTGCCACCTGCTTGTCCTTATGACATGGACACAACAGCCCCCAGAGCCTTCATGGCCGCAACAATTTTCTCTGCATCCTCCTTGGGCACGCCCTCTTTCATCACTTTGGGTGCACTCTCGACGAATTTCTTTGAATCCACTAAACTCAGGCCGAGCAATCCTTTCACTTCCTTAATGACCTTGGGCTTGGCAGCAGCATCGAAGGAATCGAGTTTGAGTGTGAACATCGTCTTTTCAGCGGGGGCAGGCGCGGCTTCTTCTGCTGCCTCTGCTTCGGCAGCCGGAGTTGCGGCAGCACCGCCAGCAGCAGCGGCCGGAGCAGCGAAAGCCATGTCAGGAATATTGAGCCGTGACTAGAATTGTCCATGTTAGCCCAAGTTCGAGGAGGACTACAATCAGGGTCTTTGCGAAACAGGGCGCGTGGGCCGCCACAGGAAAAAATGATGTTTGAACATACCTTCAAGCTTGCAACAAGATCTGCTGTCTCCAGCAATGTTAACTGTGATATTTGATCCACAATCCCAGCTATCTTAGGGTTTGTAGGCGTTGCAGCTGCATCGGTCGACTGCCATCTCCGCGAACATTGTGAGGGTGCTAAGCTATTCCTTCGTCTATGCTGATTTGCGGAGCTGGTGGAGGAAAGTCGGAGGCACTGGGAGGAAAGGCTGCGTTTTTGCGTCCGAGCTGCCAGCTGGCAGCAACGATGAGTGACTGAAGGAAGTTTCGCCGACATCGTGGATCGAGAAGAAATGGGGAGAGGGAGAAGAAGGACTCGTGGAAAGCGTGCGAGGAGTGAGGATTGAGGCGAGGCGATAGTATCGAATCTCGAGAAATTATCTCGCGATCATCCACGCATTGACAACCAGATCGTGCCAAGCGGCACGTGACCTAACCAAGACTTGGAAACCAACCATCAAGATCGAACATCATTCCTGCCTTTCTTCCTGGACGACAAAAACTGTGGCCAACTGGGAGTCGCGGTCACTGTTTCGCTGGTAGTAAATATCTCGCATGGGATCACTGTCATCGGAGTCCTCTATAGGACAGCGCTTCTGTACCTTGAGTAAATCGCCACTATCCCATCCTCGAGCCTAATCGCCTAAGCCATTAATCTTTCATCTCTTCGAAATCAAATCATGGAAGACGTTCCAGTCTTCAGAGCTGCGAAGCGTAGAAAGTTTGTACGACCCCAGCAAGGATCATCCGCGGAATCCCCCGAGGCAGCGTCTCCTAAGGTGGTCGATGTGCTGTCTCGCGGCGGGAATGAGAGTCTGGGTGACGATGACGATGAAGACGATGGCGGTGTTTCGAGTCTATTGCGTGCACGGAAACACGTTCGAAAGGTTGTATCCGGTGTTCAATTTTCAAATACGAAAGTCGCGCAACAGTCCAGAGAAACCACGGGCATGGAGGTTGTCAAATCAGATCAGGATGTCGACAAGGCTATAGACATCACCAACCGTTTTGTCGGAAGCACAGGGCAGGTCGTCAACGTCGATCAACATATGTTCGTGGCCCCCTAAAGATGCCCAGTATTGGAGACATAGTTAGCTGACAAGATAAGGGTTGCGTTCATAGATTCCGAAATGGCTAGGAGACGGCACAATCTCGTCACCCCTTCAACTCTGCCGCAGGCAAGTCCAGAGACCGATGTATATCACGATGCTCCATCGTTCGGTGAGGCTGGGTCGACGGCCAAGACAGCATCTACAACGAAACCCACGTCTACCCGCCAGCTGGCCGAAGTCGACCTGGGAGATTCTGTGCACGATACTAACCTAGCCCGCACGCAAGCTGCGCTTGAACGTGTCAAAGCTGGCCAAGCCCCGGTCGAAGAAGTGGACAAGCCACCAAAGCCTCGAAAACCACGGCTAGGCCGAGATGGCAAGCCCATGAGGCCGCGGCCTAGAAAGCGAAGAAACAGCGAAGACATTGCGCGAGATGCTCTTGTGGAACAATTCCTCCACGAAAACAAAATAGACCTCTACGACACGAACACGTTAGGACTGGCAAGCGTCCAGCCGCCTGGTGACGAAGCTGCTGAAGATGGTGGTACGGACGATCGGTTTGCAGAGCAATTCCGGCAGGATTTCATGGATGCAATGGCCGAGAGGAGGAACAGGGCCAGACATGCACATCAGCCAAAGGCATCAACGGGTGTTACAACAGAGTCAAGGGGCCCAAAGTTAGGAGGCAGTCGAAGCGCACGAGCGAAGATGATGCAATGGCAACAGCAGCAACGACAGCAAGGGGAGTCAGCAAAGAAGTGAGGGTACTCTGGCCGGCATGATGGGTCGAATTTGCGATGACAATGAGCCCTTGAAACCTTTTGAACCCCTTGCCAGCACATTGCAAGTTGCCCAATGAAGAACATAAGACATGGTGGTGGTCAGTATGAGTGCAATCACCTCTGACCGCAATCAGCTGCATGTAATCTGCCTGCTCACAGTTGTACTGGTACTGATAAGTGTCACCATGATCAATCTTCTTCCCCGTTCCTTGGCACAAGGCCAAGTCAAAAACGATGAAAAAGAAGGGCTATCCAGCGGACAACAGTGACAAAAGTTTCCAAAAATTGCCAAAAACCCAAGTCCCAGAGGGACAAGAATTTTGGTGTGAGGAGTTACCAAAAATTGAGAAAGAAAAAAAAACCGGTCCCAGAGAGACAGTTTTTTTTTTGTGTGAAGCAAAAATTGCAACACGTTAAGTCCCGAGAGACTTGGAGGTTTCCAAAAATTGAGAGAAAAAAAAACCGGTCCCAGAGAGACAGTCTTTTTTTGTGTGAAGCAAAAATTGCAACACTGTAAGTCTCGAGAGACTTGAAGAGGTTCCAAAAATTGAGGTTGAACAACAAATTGTTCAATGGGTCTGCACCATCAATGCTGGCGAACAGAGCATGCCTTACAGTGAGAGAAGCCTCTAGGCAAGGAATTGTTTGTGGTGGAACATTCCTGGATTGCCATCATCGAGAACAACCTAAAAAGCCATTGGGGACTTTGACGTACTGAGATCGCACCCTCCACCGGAATGTCCAAGATGTCGGATCACGGGTGGAAATAGCCGTCTAACAAGACACATTCCCAGTCGTGTAGGGAACTCTGGACACAATGCCAGACCAATGACCCCTTTGTCGGCAGGGACAGGAGTTGGTGTAACTCCGCTGATACCCACAGAGTTTGTTGATCAGAGATGAGCTGTGTCCTCCTTTTCAGCGTTCGGAGGAAACTCCAAGACTACCAGCTCACGATGGAGATGACATGGCGGTTGTCCTGAAGCTCAAGCAAGCATCAAATCCGCAGGCGGCAAGGAGGACCAACTCGGAGAGAAAAACAACAGGCGGAGAGTGTAAGGCCAGAAGCTTTTCTCAACAAGTGGCGTGTGTAGCCAAGACACATCTGAACATGAAGCTCAAAGATTGTGTGCACAACAGATCTTGATCTCGATCGACTGGGTGATGGAGAGGAGGAAAGGAAGGAAAGTCCGTGTGAAGGAGAGATTCCACAGATATTTATGCCCGTTCACCTGAGCAACTATCTTGGCAGGACTCTGGCTTAGTGTGGTAGCTTTCAATGAGGACTTGGCGGACTCAGTGGAACTTGGCGGGTTCATTGAATTGAATGGGCAAGAGGATCGGGCAGTTTGAGCAAGGTGCGGCAGAAGAAGTTGGTGTGTTGAAAGCATGGTTGATGTTGATGTTTATACGTGTCATGTGACGAGGCTGCAGCCTCGCGCATGTATAAGGTACAGGACAGAAAGAGAGACACCATCTTCAAAAGTCAAAATCAGGGAAACAGAGACACACGGGATTGTTCAAGGATGTCAGATACACAGGCACACAGGGTGCTGGGACTACATTTCCTGGACTTGGGTCTTTTACACCTGAGATCGAGGAGAATTACAAAAGCAAACGAGTCCACATCACGCTTCAGCAGGCAGAACGGCGGTTTATGGCAGACTTTGCGGGATCATGTACACATGGATGACGAGGAATGGCCTGAGCACAACGAATCGAACAACCACTGAATGCTGCAATCTGGCAAGGAAGGTCTTAATTTGCTCCTGTCAATTAAGGCACAGTTCCATGGCGTGTTGGCTAGAGACTCGCATACTCTCTCAGACTTCTGCGAACTTCAGTGCTGGAACCAAGGCAACATCTCCTGGAGGGCGTCCGCCAAGGTTCATGGACAGAACCCGCCGAGATTCAAGTATCACTCCTTCCTGAGAGTGAGTGAATTGTCGTCGACTCCTTGGCGGAAAGATCTCTACCTCACCCTCTACCAACCTCTTTGATCTGCTTGGCGAGCATGAACTTGAGCATCACTTAATGAAGTTCCTCTTCTCATTCTCCTGGAATTTCCTTTTTCCTTTCCTTCTCTTTCTCTCTCCATCACCCTTCCCTTCCCTTGCCTTGAGGGCAATTGTGCTTGCGCAAGGCCCCCTCAAGGCAAGGCACAGGACAAGTCCTCCTCAATAGGGCTCTGTCTACATTCCCAGCAACAGTTTTCCCCCTTCCTGTCATTTGTTCTCAAAGTTTTGCTGACGTGCTATAGGAAGTCGCTCAAGGGTGGCTCACAGCGCCACTGACACCAGTACAGGGACACGTCCGGCCCATCTGGAACTCACCGACCTCGAACGCTGATCACTGCCACGTACCGGGTCATGGTCCCGCCGACTGACCAATTCCACAAACCTCCACGAGACCCACGATTCGATCGAGACACGATTCCAACCCTCGTACGCCGCGAGAGGACGACTTCCTCCTCCTCCTCCTCCTCCTCCTCCTCCTCCTCCTCCTCCTCCTCCTC